TCCGAGGAGCACAATTTTTTGCAGTTCCGCTGGTGGTATTGCAGGAAGCTGCAATTTGTTGATATATCTTGTAATATTCTTCGACATGGTGCCAAGTGCCCTGATGACAATGGGTATCACTGTTACATGCTTCATCCATAGCCGTGTAGTTTCAATGGCCAGGTCGCGATATTTCATGATTTTTTCTAGTTCTTTTTCTTCAACTCTGACATCTCCAGGAACAGCGATATCAATAAACTGTACACTTCGGCCCTCTACAACCGTGATATCTGGTGTGTTGTGCTCCAAATGATGATCCGTTTGTATTCGAAAGTCCCACAAGATCTTCACCTTCTCATTTTCGATAACTTTTTCTACTTTATGTTCCCATGAAAGTGAAGATACAAAAATCCACTGACAACCCAAACTGCTGATTTTGCAATAACAAAGTCAAAACTGTTTCACATTTAATATGTGAATGCAGCAAAATTGCACAAACTGATTACAAAGCTAGACCAAGTTGCTAAATTAATCCACTGGTCATTATGTAAAAATATGATTTTCCTGTATCCAGAAAGTCATGGGAACCTAAAGTGGAAAAAGTTGTCGAAAATGAGAAGGTGAAGATCTTGTGGGACTTTCGAATACAAACGGATCATCATTTGGAGCACAACACACCAGATATCATGGTTGTAGAGGGCCAAAGTGTACAGTTTATTGATATCGCTGTTCCTGGAGATGCTAGAGTCGAAGAAAAAGAACTAGAAAAAATAATGAAATATCGTGACCTGGCCCATCAAAACTACACGGCTATGCATGAAGCATGTAACAGTGATACCCATTGTCATCGGGGCACTTGACACCATGTCCAAGAATTTTGCAAGATACATCAAAGAATTGCAGCTTCCTGCAATAACACCAGCAGAACTGCAAAAAACTGTGCTACTCAGAACATCATATATTTCAAGAAGATACTTGGTTGATACCTAGGACACTGGCAGCAAACCGTATCAACCATTAGCACCAGTCACTGGTATTTGTTCAGTTGGCTGAGATTCATGTTTAAGGAATAAATTATATATAATAATAATATACTTTCAAAAGGACAATCTATTTCGCAAACTATCCCTATTTGTGTTTAAGAAGCAATGTATTTTATTTTGAAAAACAGAAATTTAGCCTGTTAACATGTAAGTATTGTAGTGCCCTGTCTTGTCTGTTTTTTAATATAAACAAAATTCATTTAGAAAAGACCATTCCTTTTAATATTTTCTTCATAAAATTTATAACCCCTTTGTTTTTCAAGCTGCATATTATTGGGTTGAGCATAGGGATTATCACTGTATAGAGGACTGACACTACTTTATCTATGTTCATGGAATAACTAGTTGTAGGGCGCAAGTACATGAAGAGAAGAGTTCCATAGAAAAGGGTGACAACCATCAAGTGAGATGTGCAAGTAGAGAAAGCCTTGTATTTGCTGTCTACTGAATCCATTCTGAGGATAGTAAAGATGATGCAGCAATAGGATACAAATACGAATGATGTGATAGTGACTTCATTAAACCCAACAATTGTAAATAGCAAAAGTTTATTGGGTGTAATATCAGAACAGTAAAGATAACTTAGAGGGGGGCCATCACAGAAGAAATGGTTAATGGCATTGGTTTTGCAACATGTTACTCGTAAACTGAATCCTGTCTGGATTATAGAATTCAGGAATCCAGCCAAATATGAGAAGACAACCAAAAAGATACAGATCCTTCGAGACATGATGTATGTATACATTAACGGGTTACAGATAGCCACATATCGGTCATAAGCCATCACAGCCAAAAAGTAACATTCTATAGTTGCTAAACCAGCATAAAAGTAAAGTTGCAAGATGCACCCAGTATATGAAATGATTTTTTGGTGTGATAGGAAGTTTACAAGCATTTTGGGAGTGACAACTGAAGAATAACAGAGATCTAAGAAAGACAAATTGCTGAGAAAGAAATACATGGGGGTTTGAAGGTGAGAATTGATTTTCACAACCCAAATAATAACAGTATTTCCTACAACAGTGATAATATAGATGAGCAAAAAGATCACAAAGAGAATGTTTTTCAGGACAGGACAATCTGTGAATCCCAAAAGAATGAAGTTTTCCTTCAGAGTACAATTTTCTCCAGCCATCTATTTGATGTGTATTATGAAGTATGGAGTCTATAAAAGAAAAAATGATGTCATGGTATAACTATTCATCTGAACAAATATGCTCTTATGTGTGAGAGGAAAAGAGAGAAAGAGGGACTTGTGTTCATCTGAGAATTCCTTAGAATGTCACTATATGAGATTGGACAAGTGAACCTCTGTGTTAATTTTCCTCATGTGTAAAAGAGGACCCTTATAGTAACCGTGGGACTGTGGCATGGAATAATACTTTAAGTTGGTCTTCTGAAACCTAATGTTTTCTCAATTAGTTTGCTGGTAGCACAAATCATCCTAACCACCATGGCATTTCTCATACTGTCTGCAGATTATGACAATTCTATTTCAATAAATCTGGAATTCATCAAGATGAGAAAGGCTGCTTTCAATATTGCAAGGCATTTTTATGTGGGTAATAAAATTGTGTCCTGTCATGTCTTAGGAATCATTTGCCTCTGATTTTCAACAACAACATTATAGATTGTTCCTTGGTTTTATTAAGGGTTGGGGAGATAGATTATAAAAATCAGAAACATATTTGGATAGAGAAGATGACGCACAATGTTGAAGCACAAACTTCTTTGCACATATTGTCTATATAATCTATTTTTTATAAGAAACCAGCCCAGATTTAGCCTTGTTGACTTTTATCCAGAATTAGCACTATTTATTGTTTATAATGACTGTTCTATTCAGCATCTGATTCAGAGTGGTACACATTTATAACAATTATTATTAAAAGCAATACAATTCAAAACAATAGCATGTAAACATCCAATCTTGTAAATATCCAATCTTTTGCAAATCTTCCGAAAGAAAATAAAAAAGTTATTAGCATGTTTTTATCCAATTGCAATGCTTATAAAGCACTATTCTATAAGCTTCAGGATTCTAACTATATAGCAAAAAATTATTATTTTATAAATATTGAATAATATGTAATGTTCTTACTCTTATTAATAGACAATATGGGGAAATGGCCTTAGAAAACAAAGTTTGTTTGTGTCATAAACAGCTGTCAGTAGTTAGGTTACTAATTTATTAGTATTGGATTTTACAGACTGGGATGAGAAATTCACTTTTTAAATAGTTTTCTTCCTACAATGTCAAAACAATCTGGTTTTGTCTTGAGAATTATAAAATTAAGATATCCAACAGAATGCAAATAATTGAAATCATAGCAGTAATTAAAATTATTAAAACGTCAGTTCTACGGTAAATGGAACATAATGTTTAAAGCATTGATTTCATTGTTTAAAATGTTTAGTAGTAAGTACAAAATTACTGTATTCAGGATTTAATTCATATATTATAACATTCATTTTTATTTTTGAGATCTTCCTACAATCTTGCAGTTTTGCTAAAAAAACAACCATCCAGTATTACTGAACAGATGGATTGGTTGGTATAAATTCAAAGAATAGATGGTAATTAGGCTTCATTTTTACTTTTGAAAGAAACATAATAGATATTACAGTTTGATTTTTCTGACATCCGTACCACGAGCTTAGTGGAAAACCAGACTTGATAAATGTAGTGCTTAAGAAATAATAATTTAGAAGCAATAATGTTTGCTGTAACTCCAAATTTGTCAGTCAACATTCTATACATACTACTCTACAATCAGTCACAGAAAGTTGTTTTTGATTAAAGGTGTACACATTTTAAAGATGTATACATTTGTACACAATGTGTACAAGTATGTACACATTTAACAGTACTTGGTCATTCACAACATTAAATAAAAGGACTCAATATTCTAGTCTATCTAAAAAAAAAACACCCACAAATTGAGTCCTTCCTGATGTGTTTTGAACTATAGCTTGTTGAATGTTTTGCCTATATTAGAGGAGGCTTAAACAGCTAGCAAAATTCTGAAATATATTTGATTCAGCTCATTACACTACCTACCTTTCACTTCTGCAAATAATAGAGACTTCAATAGGAAAGAATAAAACATGCTCAGTTTTTTTATTAAATCAGAAGGGACATGACTACATTTTTAAAAAAAAAAACTGATGTCAAATGGCTTAAATGTATTTATTATAATTTCTACCCCACAATTCCATTCCATGATTTCTGTAAACCAACAGGCAGAACAGTAAATCCATACTCATTTTGTTGAGGTGTAAAAAATATAGATTATTTTGCTTTGCAGGCTGGAGACAGAGATCTTCTCTTAGCCATCTTAAAATGAGAGATTCCCAAATGATGATTATATCAGGAGAATATTGGGTTGGTTTGTTTTTAAACCTCTGGGAATGCTGCTCCCAATTGATGTCTGACTCTATTAACTCAAATTTATAATGTTCTTTCTGATTTTGATGATTAGCAGACTGACAAGCAGAAAGTTGTAGACAAAATGAGAAGAAAATAGAATGACCCAGTTGGCTTTTTGATGGACAATATCAGTCAGTATGTCAGACTGCTGATCATAATGTCATTTTGTGGCACTAAACTTCCCACAGAAGAGCTAAAGCAATTATGAAAGAATTTCAGCAAGTATTTCACATCAAATGGAAGCTTTATTTATAACAAATTACATTAAACTTTTTTCCAGCCTACTTCTGCCTTCTTCAAAACTAAACTAGCAATGACTCTGTTCTGGATTGAAAATACAGGGTTTTGTGGTAATGGCATGGTGTAGCATTAAGTTCTTACTTTTGATTATATAAGAACTAGCCATCACAAAGATGTTCTCTGTAAGGAGACAAATGATTTATTTGCTATTAAAGCAAAAATAACAAATAACAACAATATAGCTAAATTTGCTTGTGCTTATCAATATTTATTGAAGTGTTTTTTAAGTATTCATTTACTTACAATTCAACATCATCCATTCATACTTAAATATCCCCTATCCAACTCCTGTTGATCAGCATTTCAATGAAAGGTATGGTTTCACTCAGGGGTGGGTTCCAGCAGGAACTACTACCAGTTCACTTGTGGGCATGCTGCATGCGCACACACTTGATGTGCACTATGCGCACATGCACTGTGTAATAAAAAATGTTCTGTGCATGCGCAGAAGCAAAAAACAAGATGGTGCTGCCTATGGTGTCACTCAGAGAACCGGTTTGGGGACATGGCAGGCCTGGGTCGCTGCCGGTTCCCGTGACCCAGGCCCCCAAACCACTACTGGTTCGGCTAAGCCGATCCAAACTCGTAAAACCTCTGGTTTTACTTCTCAGAAACCCTGAATATTCCCAGTGTACCTGTTATGCCCCTGTCAGAGTCTGAATCTGAGGGAGGAGATGAACTGGAACAAGAACTGACAGAGATGGAGAGGCCGGCTCCATTGACCTTGGAGGAAAGTGGGGAAGGGCAGAGTCACTCCACTTTTCTGAATTAGTAAGGCCTGAAGAAAGGGAGAGCTCTTGAGAAGAGCAAAGATTACCCTGCTCCCGATCCGAGAGCTAGGGGGGAAGAAAGATGGTGAGATCAATGCAGATTGAGCCAGCTACGAGTGAGGAGAGTGCCCTGCCCCCTTTCACAAGTCACACCTGGGGACTGAGATGTAAGGAGGTGCTAGTGGGAGGGGCATTTGTCAGGAACAAGCGTTGAATCTGTGGAGCCTTATGTGCACTTGCCAAAGCCTGGAGATTGCTGTACTCTGTCTTGTGGAGCTTGCCAGTTTGCCTGCTTCACTGAACTTCGTGCCCTGGTTACTGTTTAGCTAACCTGGCTTATTGGACTGCTGGCCTTGGTTGTTATTTGATTAACCTGACTTACTGAACTACTTGGAGCCAGAGGCTTCTGAAGGTGCATGTGAGGAATCTTTGGGGGCACAGTTGGAGCAACAAAGGGGAGTTAGACTTGTTCCCTGGTTGTCTTGCATTTGTGCCATGCCCTGGGTCATCACAGTACCCTACCAATTACAAAACATAGTGTATAACCAATCCCATGCTTATTTCATACTTTATCTGTTTAATAATCAAGACATCTGGCATAAGAATGGGCTGGGATTTGGAGTGACATCACATCCCTGACAAGTACAAGACACCAGTTCAAGAAAGAACTAAATAGTTTTTATACAAAGATAGGAGCCAAAAGTTTCAGTCCGATGTCAAGTTCTTCTAGAACTGTGATGGTGAACCTATGGCACATGTGCCCAAAGTGGCATGCGGACCCATGTCGCCTGGCATCCATGGCATCACCCATTCCTCTTCTGGGTTTCTGGATGTTTCTGCATGTGTGTGTGACGATCAGTTGGCCTTTGTGAGTGCAGCAGTGCTGGAAACCAGAAGAGCTGGTCTTCCATTTTCCAGTGTGAGCATGCGTGCCAGCCAGCTGATTGGTGTGTGTGCATGCATAGCAGTAACCAGAAGACTTGCTGGCTGGCACGTCATGTCCATGCTGGAAACTGGAAGTTAATTTTCCGGTGCGCGCATGCCCCCTGGGCAGTTTCTCTTCCTAGTCGCTGCCCAGACAAGAGTGTGCACATGCACAAAAATGCATGCATGCAGTGCTCCCTTTTCAGCACTCAGTGCTGCACATGCATGCATGTGCTCCTTTTTCGGCACTCAAAAGTTTCACCATCACTGCTCTAGAATCTCTAGCCAAAGTTTAGTTGATTTTTAACCTAGCAATAAACTTTAACTACATGAAATAAACACAGATAGTTTTTCCTTTACACCAATAAAAAGCCAGTTCATAAACGGAGAGTGAACACATTTAATTAACCCAATATTGCAAATCTGGGATAAAATAGATTTTTTAATTGTATAATATTTTCCACAGTTCTTTATTTAATAATAGAGTCTACATTTTTTTGATATGCAATTCAAAATGGCATTGATATTTTAAAACTTGATATTCTTCACAAAACCAGATTAACGAATAGACAGATATTAAATCAAACAGGATGAAAGTAAGGCAAGTCAATATCATATGCATAAAGATGCCCTTCATGATTTCCAAGATAGTTATAGTTATAGTTAGTTATAGTTTATTAGTTTTGTATGCCGCCCACTCCCGAAGGACTC